TGTGTATATACCAGCAAGCAAGGTTCATATGTAGTAGAGCCACGCTGTAGCTATATTATGGTTGTAGCACGAATGGGTCGGCTCGATCGGGGAAGGACCACGCTTTCACAGAGTACCAGCGTAAAATAGCAGTTTAATTTTAATACTGCTGTGTTTCGTATGGTGAGTGTAGAGATCCGGAGACCCTTTTTTATTGGAAACGAGGCATTTCATCTCAGTCCTCAGTGGTGACAACGCATCTGCGTTTTGATTCGTGTAGATGTCTATGGGCCACAGCATCTACTTAATCAGGTGGATGGACTGTATGGTCGTTTGTCACCCATATTCTATATAAAAAAAACATACACTAAATTATGATCTTATAATGCGCTGTTGATATCATGCGATCGTATCTAAAAGTAATTGTGGTTAAATTATCGAGGAGATTGTGTTAATAAAAATTCACGCTGTTCGGACCTCTAAGAAATTCGTAATACCGTAAAAATCAACGTTAGCTTGACATTAACTATTCTAATAACTGCCATAAAAGTAAAGTAATCTCTTTCCCTAGACCTGCTTAGCTGCTCGCACATAATAAAAAAATATTAGCTGTACTAGATATAAAAGTAAAGTTACAGCCTATATACGTCCTACTGCTGAGTACAGGCCTCCCCTCATTTCTGAGACGGTTTTAGGGAAAGGAAGTGTCCGGCGCGCTGCCCCAATGCGTGTTGGCGAAATTCACGTCTTCGAAATATTTTTTTTTCTTATTCCTCATACATGCAGGTTTCCTCACGATGTTTTCCTTCACCGCCGAGCACGTGGTAAATCAGCACTTAAAATTGCAATTAACAATTTCATTGGTGCCGGCGGGGATCGAACCCGAGTTACTCACGTTCGGTTATAATTATTTACAGCGAGCGTTAACCATCTGAGCTACTACGGCTGCATATAACTATATAACTGCCATGCTAATTACAATTGTTTTCCACTTCCAATATCTAGGAGTCATAAATTGGAATTTTTAACATATTTGAATACTAATTACAATTGCAATGCAAAATGTTCTTGCTAAAAAAAACGAAACGTCGTCATTCAAATTCCGACTATAAAATATTAGGTTTAATTAATTAAATTATGTTCTTTATTGACATACATTTATTATGTCTTAATAAATCAAAGAGAAGTTAGAAATAAACAAGTTTTATTTTCAATTTGGTCCATAAAGTGTACAATATTACCCTTTACAATTTAATATCTTTTTTGGTATACAGCTGTATGAACTTTTTAGCTCATTTTTTGTATCTACCCTCTACTTGTTTTATAACTTTAAATCACAATTATTAAAGATATTTCTTACGCACTTATCATACAAGAACTATCACAATGTGCAACTTAAATTTATTATTTATTACCCTAATATTTAAAACTTCTTTTTCTTACAAATTAATCAATTAACAATCTTAAAAAAATTATGGAATAATAAGAGTCTTTTTAATCAATTCTTAAGGCTCTTATAGAGGTATAATAGACCTAAAGGTTAACTCACATCACGTTTGACCATTTGTCCACTCGCCTTCCATTCTCCATACAGAGAAAGCATAACTTAACTTATCTTGTGCCAAGTAGTTGCCGTGTTCACTGCCGGCGTCGCTGCTACCATCGCTGCTAGCAGTAGACTCGCTGTTCGAAAGGATTTGGTACAGGAACTCTATGTACTGTGTCGCTAATTGTAAAGTTTGTATTTTCGAAAGTTTATCACTCGGCAAAGACGGTATGATCTGTCGCAAGCTAGCAAAAGCTTCGTTCAAACTCTGCGTTCTTTGCCTCTCTCTGACATTTGCCATCACTCGTTGTATTTGCATTTCTTCGAATGATTGAGTTTTCTTTCTCGATGATTTCGATGAGCGCTTCCTTGACCTTCTCTGTTCGTCGTTGTCGTCGCTACGCTCTTCAGTCGATTCTCGATACACAGTTTCTCCTACTTTCGACATGTCGTTATTTTCATAGTAGGAGCTGACTCGGTCTTGTGAATTGGAATCGTCGAAGTAGAACGTTCGAGATAATTGTCTTTGCCTTTGATCAGGAATATATAACTGATCGTACGGCGGATACTGGGGTTGCTGGTAATCTCGGTCTTCGCTATCGAATATGATATTGGACGGCCAGGCTGGCTGAAGCGATGGCCTTTCAGAGCCGTTACTTAAATCCATTAGATGGGCCGGTGATGATGGCGCGAATACTTGTGTTTCGTGTCTTTTCACCTCAACAGGCACATAATGGTAGTAGTCTTCGTCTTCAGGGCATTCGAGTTCTTCTTCGCGTTTAATGGGCACTATTCTTTCACAACTATCGTAATTCATTGTTCGGGCTACGATCGGACAATGTGACGCGTCGTGCGACATGAGCGCGTGGCGGACGCAGTCGCCTACAGTTGCTGAGTACTGACTGAGAGATCCTGGAGCGGTCCGCCCCTACCCGTCCCTTGACAAGACAAAAAATAACCATCTCCACAGCGGTGCGGCATAGTACCTCCCGCCCAGCGCGCCGCCTCCTACCCACGCATTTAGGGTTGCATGCGTGCGAAAAAGACAGGTATAGTAAAGCCATGTTGATCGTTTTTTGTTTATCTTGTCCATCATTTCACAACCGTATTTACTGTAACTACATAGAATTATAGATATTTATGTATTTCGGACGCCATAACCGATCGCATCGGTGAACTCGCATCCTGTCGGACTTCGATATTATTGCACCGTGGTAAAGCTAATCACTCACAGTGATTAATAGTTTTATCCGCATATATTCCATTTTAGAATATCCAGATGATCTCCAAATCGAAGCGTTAATATATTATGTACTTTAACATATACCTATGTACCTATATCTTCACAATGTTTCTAAATTGTACATACCTGATGAGCAATTAAAATCTATTATATTTGTTATATTCATCTTGTGACCTCAGTATATTATAATAACGTGTAGGAAACTACCGGCGCCGCCACCCTTGCTTAAAATTTTTTTTGTAGTCGCGTCATCCAGGCGCTTGGTTACTAAAAATATCTTTGACGCAATCGGACCACAAAGCTTGATCCCACGGGCGCACCGCGGTGTTGATGCCTTCTACTAAAATTATAAATATTTTATTTATTTTATCTACGCTCCTTCAGGATAGCTGCGGTAGCCTGTAGTGTGTAGTACATTGTACAGTGTTAAACGACTTGACGTTTTAACGGATCTGTTAGTCATCCTTCAAGATTTTTAATAGCGGGTTTATTTCTACTAGGCTATTGTATAATAATAATAGCAATAATCTTTTATTTGAATAAAATTACAATAATAAAGTGAAGACTCTGATCTCCAAACTAGACGAGTCTGTGTCTTAGGGATCAGCGGCCTCTCCCAGTGTTGTGACAAACGTATCAATTAACTAATATTTAATTAATAATTAATTAAGTAGCTTAACATTTTTAAGTAACTAAATAGCAATTTAAATGGATTTATTTACAACTAAACATAGACTGTAACTTAAAGCGATTAAAGTAATTTATATTTTATATAATCGTAGGTATATTAAAATTACTTTGTAAATTGTAATTTGTAATATATTAAAATAAATATAGAATATATTAATAATTTCATATAGAATATATATTTAATACATTATAACCTATAAAATTAATAAATAATTGTTTTAAACAAAAATTGCTATTTATAATTTTATACGTACTTATACCCATTACATCTATATTATTTTATTGGTTATATATATATTGATAAGGTTTCTTCTGACGCAAAATCATTGATTGTACGCATAAACGTAGGTAGTTCGACACGCACAAATAAGTGTTAGTGGAATAGTATTTACCCGAATGTAGAAAAATTTTACGTTCCTATGTTCAGCAGTGGACTTTGATAGACTATTAAGGATGGATGTATAGAAGATAATCTACCAGGAGCACATGAACACTGAGAGGTGAACATGAAACATACGTAAAGTATGTAAAATAGCGACATCATCAAATCGATTCTTTTTTCGAAATGTATTTACAAAAATAATTCTTTTTAAACTTTACGTCTCTTCTTATAAATAAACGTAAAACTGTTGATTTATGCTGTCACCGGATTATATGACGGCGGTTAAAGCTGTTCATGGCTTAAAATATCAAACTGCCTTACTGGCTCACTTCAATGTATTCGCGGTATAATTTTATGTGTACGTGATAGAGCCACACTGCAGCAACAAATGAGTCGGCTCGACCGGGGAAGGACCACGCTCTCACGGAATACCAGCGTAATGTAGCAGCTTAATGCTGCTGTTTCGTATGGTGAGTGGAGAGAACCGGAGACCCGTTTTAGTGGAATCGAGGCATTCCATCTTTGTCCTCAGGGGTTACAAAGCATCTGCATTTTGATTAATCGAGTTTAAATTGTAGATGTCTACAGGCCACGGCATCCACTTATCATCAGTATGACTGTGTGCTCGTTTGTCATCCTTATTTTATAAAAAAAAGTCTCCCATGACATCAATACATTTACTTGTTCGCGAATTTTGTAGCATCACTTTCCCCAAAGTCTTTTTTTAATTTTCTTTTGGGGAAAAAATTTGGCCACTTCGTGTCATGGCCTGTAAAATGCGTTAATTTCCAACCCCAGTGGGACATCAGCGCTTTCAATTTAATCGCTCACGAAATCACCTTCCCCGAGAATACTTTTGAACGCCCCTCGTAGTACCCAATGCGTGACGTATCTAACAATTAGCCAATCTGTGATGGAGAATCTCACATACTGTTCAGGATTGCTTCGAACATAAATAGGTAGGGTAAAGGTTGGCTAAATGGTGATATATAGCAATATGGTGATAATTTTGCTTTCAACGGTCTTTATAATGCCCAGCGCGAGTTTTGCGTTCATTCAATGAACTGAAGGCGAGTATGTTCATCTCTCTTTCATTTGGCCGCTGGTCGCTGTCCTCACCGGACGCGGTTTATTTGTTTCGCGCCAAAATATGCGAAAAAATGGAGGATAATCGGTACGTAAATATCACCAAATTACCAAAAAACATTACATAGCTTATTTTAATTTTATTTCAAGCTTAATTTGAATGGGGTTTTCAGGGTAGATGAAGCTCGAAATGTTGTATCTTTCTGTTAAAAAAAATATCGGGTTGTGTTTCATTAGTCCGGGTTATAGTCTTACGTATTGGATGATTTTTCTTACAGGAACAAGTCCGGAAAGGCAAATAAAAGGAAAATGAAGGGCGAGAAACGCAGAAATTATGACTCTTCACGCTTCAAGGAGGCTTATATGAAAGTTATAAAGGATAATTGGTCAGTGTACAAGGCGTCGAAGGAATATGGACACATAGCTACTCATGGAGGTGAAAGTTTCGACTTACCTAAACTTGGGAGACCATTCACATTAGACAGCGACTTTGAATGAAAGTTTGTTTCCTACATAATTAAAATGCAAGAACTAGGATTTGGTCTCAGCGTCACAGACATCAAAGCTAAATGTTACGCTTCAGCAGTCCAAGCAGGAAAAGATCACCAGTTTAACGATGCTGAACGTAAAGCTGGGCCTTATTGGTGGTGGTCGTTTAAAGAACGGTACGGGCTTTCATTGCGCACGCCAGAAAAGCTTGCAGCACGCCGAGCTGTTACTGCTAACAGACAAAACATTGACGATTTTTATAAAAAGCTACTGGACGTCGTTATTGAGCTGGATATTCTGCAAAAGCCTGAAAGGATTTATAACTGCGACGAAACCGGTGTAACGTTCGTCGTAAAACCGTCAAAAATTGTCACTCAAACTGGAAAGAAGGTAATTTACAGTAGAACTTTTGCAGAGAAAGGTGTCACACAAACGGTGCTTGGGTGCTGTAGTGCGAGCAGAGCGTCTGTACCCCCCCTTGATCATTTTTAAAGATGTCCGAATGGTCAATGATCTAGAGAATGGTGCTCCGAAAGGGTCTATCGTGAGATTATCCAAAAACGGATGGATTAACTCTGAACTATTTCTGGAGTGGATGCATCATTTTGAAGCTCATATTCCACCAGCTAGACGGGTACTTTTAATCATGGATTCTCACTCTATCCATGTCAGCCAAGATGTTATAGATTTCGCTACAAAAAATGGCATTCATCTATTGACTTTTCCAAGTCACACAAGCCATCTCCTGCAACTTCTGGACGTTTCTGTTTACAAGTCACTGAAAAATGCATGGGCTGAATTGCTAAATGATTATAAGCTTCAACATCCAACGAGTGCTCCAACAAGGCTTGAATTTTGTCGCCTATTAACACCAGCCTACGAGCATGCATTTCAGCCGTCAATAATTATGAACGGCTTTCGAAAAACTGGCATTGCGCCATTTGATCGAAATGCCATTTCTGATGAAAGTATTGCCCCATCATTGATGCAGCCAAGTGACCTACAGTCACAGAATATTGAATCTTCCACTGATAATGCCCAAGCTTCTGCTGTCAATCGTGAAACTGCGTCCCCTTCAGTTTTCTCTTTACTTTCCGTTCCTGAGGTACCACAGTCTTCTTCTTCTAGTACCCGACGAGCTAAGCGGAATCCACAGGCCCGATATTTAACACCTCAAAGCACGAACAACATGGACAGTCCTGAAGAAAACATCGTCGCCATATCAAACGAAAACACAGTCGCCGTTACCAGTGAGGAGACCGTTACCTCGATTCGTGTCCCCTCTGCTTCTCCAACTCCTGGACCTTCAACTGAAAGCAACCTGAAGCGTAAACTACCAAGAGTCAAGGTAGAGAAAACACCAAAATCAAATAAAAATACGATGTGTGACTATTGCGGTGTTCACTACTCCCAAGATGTGGCACTTAGGAACGGAGCTGTATGGGTAGAGTGCATGAGCTGCGGCAAATGGTACCACCAAGAATGTACTGGCACAGAGTCGCCACAGTTCCTGTGTGATAATTATGATAAAGTAGACTTTTCAGGCACTGATGACAGTGATTGGGCACCTGAATAGACTTGTCACCATATTGCCACATATGGTATCACCAAATTGCCCCCGTATCTCCATATTGCCAATACCAAAAAAGATTTGTTTGATCTGATTTTCCTATTAATGTTTAAGAATTTAAGTTGCTGTGATTAATAATTATTGAAAAGAAAAGTTTGATTATTGTAATAAGTAAAGAGGTTTTCTAATAAATGTTAATTTTGAAATAAAATTTTAAGTTTTTTTCTTATTATCACCATAAAGCCAACCTTTACCCTATAGAAGAAGTAGATTTTATTAAAAAGGCATCTTTAAGCTTTTATAATTTTAACAGAATAAGCACCAAATTGGATTTATATTTTTTATTGGATTGTTTAAAATAAATTAAACATACTTCAATTATCATCGAATATGGTTAAAATTTATATACGACCATTTTTAAAAATTTATGGCATTGGGGTAGGATCGGTGATAGGGTAAGACCGTAAAAATCAAATTTCCGGTGAATTACGCTATATTTTTGAAAGCTAGCAATTTGTTACAAGACTCCATTTTATTCTGCCCCGACCCCAAGTTTCAGCCAGTCGCTCCAAAAAGTAGGACGTGTGCTGTGCAGTATTTTATAAAACAAGGTAATTTTTGTATTTTTTTCGTCCGTCCGGTCTTTCCCTATCACTTTTATTTGCGATTTTTAGCGACGTCCGGTCTTACCCCTTGATGGCCAATTCTTCATCATGCATATAAAAAATTATGCCTTGTCTTCGCACACGTTTTAAACTAAAACTGTTGAGTTTTGAAAAGTAAAAGCTTCTTATAGCTAAATTACGTGTAACAATTAACGATTTGCGCCATGTTTCAGAAATTTGACGTATATGGATGTCGAGAAAATAAAGTTTTTGCCCGACTCTTTTAACTAGTCGAAAATCGTCCGGTATTACCCCAACGCACTTATTTCATAGAAATAAAGAGTACACTGTATAATCGAAAGCATTCTCCTTTTTTAAAATCGGTGAAAATAAAAATATTATGAAATTATGATAAATAAAATAATGTTAATATGAAATATTTTTTGTTGTTCATCGCGTCTGTAACCTGTCAATACTATGAGATATTACTGTCTGCACGTAAAAGCATGTGTCCAAGGCGACATCCAACACTGGATCTGACGCTCCGTATAAATATTTCTAAAACACGATGTTATTATTAGAACGTAATTTATTCATTCCTCTGTGTTATTAGTGTTTACGTTATGTTGATACAAAGACCTCCACTAGTGTTAGTGGAGTTAATGCACACATCATTTTTAAAGGTAGTAAATTTATCAATAGGCTAGATATTCGAATGTTTGAGTTGACCGTGTAATGATGGTATATCTGAGGTGGTATTCTCACAGAAAACCAGCGTAAAATAGCAGCTTAATGGTATTGTGTTTCGTATGGTGAATGTAGAGAACCGGAGACCCGTTTTACTGGAATCCAGGCATTCCATCTTAGTCCCCAAGGGTGACAACGCATCCGCATTTTGATCCTTAATCAAGGTTAAATGTAGATGTCTATGGGCCACAGCATTCATTTACCATCAGGTGGACTGTGTGCTCGTTTGTCACCCTTATCCTATAATAAAAAAATATCTGAGTAATATACTACCCCTTAGATTATTTACTCTTTAATAACCTAAGACTGCCCCATAGTGTCGTGGGTGTCGTAAAGGCGACAAAGAGAAACAAATCAGAAAATTGCCAGTAGCTTCTTCCATGTAACAGCTAGAAAAGAAAAAAACTACGGTTGCCCACCTGCCTGGCAAGCGTGGGATGACATAGCTAATTGTATTCATTAATATCGCAATACTATAAAGATATAAGTACCTTAATGCAATGAAATAAAACGGAAGACTACAATAGTTCCTTTCTGTTGTATGAGAAAAAGAGAGATTCTTATAAAAATAATAAAAAACTGGCCAAGTGCATGTCGGGCCACGCACAATGTAGATGTAGGGTTCCGTAGTTGCTCGTCACATTAATGGGTTTTCTTCATAATAAGCGTAATAAGCGAGTTAGCGGTTTGACCGTTATAACGACCAAAAATGGGCCCAAATAGAAAGATGGTAACTGAAGGACTTATTTTATTTTATACTGAAAAAATTAAACATTTCGATTTAAAAAAATACACTTTACATCAAATTAATTACATGGCAAGTCCGTACATGAATGGTCATAATTGAATATCTATCTATAAGTATATTCCTGGCAATGCAACCCTAAGATATATATGATCGTAACGAACCTTCCTGTAAACCACCAGTGCCCTAAATTATCCTGAGGGTCGCCCGCGTATACTAAGACTGTTTTTAATATTTCTATGGTATGAGGTTATATGATTGTGAACTACCAATTAAAAAGTAAGCGAAAGTAGTAAGTACGAAAGATCCTCCGTGCTTATCCCGCCAATGAATATGTAATGCATATAAGTTGTTTTCTTCATAAATATTTATTTCTTAAAGTATACAAAAATATTACAAAGTTTTCTTATATTTACGCGAACACTATACATTCACCATTTAAAGTACTCGGTTTTTATTGGGTCTTTTTTCTATACACAGTATGACCTATGGTGTTGTTAGGATTTCACATTGATCAACAGTGTCAAGATTCTTACCAAGGATGATACGTGAGGCTATTGAAATTAAAAAACATCCTAATTTCAATAGAGAAGGAGGCTGGGTACTACCACCTGCTTGGGATCCTATAATTAATAAAATTAAAACTAAACCCAAGCATACCACAGCAAGACTTCAAAATACAGTTAGTTTATTCTGCGTAGATCGGACCAAAGACAATAATTAAAAAAGCTGAAGGTACTCCGGGTTAACTTTGACATCGGGACATCAGTCACCTCAGTCCCCTGTGACCATGGGTGCTGGAAAGCAGCCGAAACGTCGGGTATTAAAATTAATATAAATAAAACGCGATAAAATCCGTAAAAGTAGTTTTAATCAATTACAAAGTTATAATGCAGCTACTTTTAGGTCATTTTCTATAGAGCTTTAACGAAATTTAACTAATCTAAGTGCATTTTATACTATTAATGATTTAACCATAAAAACTCGACTATTACTCATTAACTTGTTAATTCTACTTAGCTGTGTTAGGGGGGCGGGGGACGGGAGGTTACATGACTAAAGAAAATACCACTTCAAAGCTAAATATTTCGCAAATGGTACCCAATATAAAAATATTTTTTTGAGATCTTGTTGCACAGTTTTGTGGGCGTTATTAATATCTATAACTATGCCAAATTACAAGTTTGTAGCGCTTAGGTAATTTGGACGGACGGACGAACGGACATGGCGAAAACATAAGGGTTCCTTGTTGTGTAACTACGGAACCCTAAAAAGAGTGACATACGCACTAAGGGTCTATCTGGTGGCAAGTGATTATTGCAGTCCATGATTACCTTTAAAT